AATTACCCTTACAAAGCAAGAAATGAGAGAATATTTATTTTTGTAAAGTTCAGAATGAACTGATATTATAACTTCAGCAAAATGTTAGTGTGTCTTTACACCTGCTTTGTACATGCAGAGAATGGAGACAATTGAATAAAATTAGACCAAAATTTTTCTCAAATAATTAGTATCTTCAAAAATTATATTTTGCAGTATAAAACATTGGGGAGAGGAATATTTCTATTTTATCTTGCTTAGTTTTTATAGTTAAATGATATTAATTCTAAGAATCAGGGAGTATTTATATTTCCTAGAGGAATTTGAAGAACCCAGGATCTATTTTATGTGTCTATACACACATAACTCTGACTTCTAAGCAAATACTGCCACTTCCTCATCTTCCTACTACTGACTTTGAAAAAGGAGTTCTGCTTCAGTCTGTTCCTACAGGACCACCAGGCAGGATTTATGCAGACTCCACCCTGGGACGTCTTCTACCTTTTACTACAAGGGGAAACAAGTGGAAGGGGTAGGGGCTGCAGCAGAGTCTCTTGAGGTTCTCTATGGCTAACACTCTTCCAATTACATTCCCTGAAATCATGCCATTGCCAATGTTCTTTTCATCCACAGTGTTCTGCTATCAATGTAATTAGGGCTGCAGTAGCAGGCAAAGTTACAAGTATCTTAAAACTGTAATTCATTGTACACTGTAACTGCCTCTTCTTAGCCTGAGCCCCGTCCACTTCCTTATTGCCAGTTACTTCCCTGTGTGGACTGTCTACTCCAATCGACTGCATCAGTGTTACTAATTCCCAGGGTCATGCCTGCCTGAGTACCTTTGCTTTTATTTATTTTTTCTTCTGCTTAAATAAAATCCTCCCTTCCTTCTCTCCCTGCCCAGAACTCTGCTTATTAAACTACTACTCCTTCAAAACTCATATCAATGCCTTATCTCAATAACCTGAGTCATTTTTACTACCCCCAAACTAATGTAATCTTACACTTTTGAATCCCAATTATACAAAATACCTCTTTTAACATAATTATTATATTCTACCTAGAATTATACTCATTTTTTTGCTCAACTTATCCCCCTATTACGCAAGAATTATTTCCAGCCCCTCTAGTTATCCCTTGAAGCGCAGGTAACCATTGCATATTGCAGTCAGTACATAGGTTTCTAATTAATGTTTTGAAAAGGTTATTTTTTTTTTCAATTGGCCGTCTAAATTGTAAGGACTTCAATGCCAGACCCAGTAACACCATAGTTCTGTTAAATGTTTCCTAATCAAGCTTTTAATGATCTTGATGTGGGGAGGAAAAGTCACTTTTTAATTCCTAAGAGAGAAGTTTCACATAATAGTTGGTATTTTTCTATGGACATGAAAGTTTATTTATATAGCAGGATTTCATCAAAGTATTATAAAGTCTTTCTTTTTACTGGAATGATAGAAAATCTAAATAGTCACATTAGTATGAAGCGTATGTTTTTATGTATAAGGATTTTTTAAAAAATATGCTTATCACTAATTTTGTCACAGGTGACATTTTATAATCTCCCCAGTACTACAGAAATGGGAATATTCCCAGATGTCTGGAATTAGATCTTCCTATAAATAATAAGTAAATTCAGTATTGTATCTATCAATTTTTCAACCATAAAATGATTCCCCAAACAACACGACCGTGCTGCAGTGACTGATTACTCCAAGCCATGCTTTCCAGATTGCCACATTGTTATTATAATTAAGACCACATTGGGGCTTATCTGTGCAAGTATCTTAACATCAGCCCCAAACTGCTGATGTGGCTTTAACGTGGATTGGGGCAAGAAAATAGATAGTCTTTATGTCTGTAAACTTAAACAGTTATCTTGTAGCTCCTGGACACCTTATGCTGATGTTGTAGAAGTTCTTATTTTTTTCAAAGCCAAGCAGTGAATTCCAATGTCAAAAAGAATTCAGAGTTTTAAAATCACAATTTAAATAGCATACGTATACTCAAAGTGAAAATGGGCTAAGTAAAGACACACATTATTTTGTTGAAGAAGGATAATTTCACCATTAATATGAAGGTATGGTTAAAATGGTTATGTAAAATGTCTACAATTAGCCTGTGTTTTCCTGAGAAATAAGGCTGGACAAATCTAGAGCCTCAGGGAAATGGGTAATAAAGAGTGCTCATTTATTTCTCCCCAATCCAATTAGCAGGTTTAGGAGTCGTTCCTATTCAAATCCTAAACTTATTGCTTCCAGTGATGGAAGATAGGATATGAACTGTGACAGATGTTTTCACCTTCATGAAGCAGGGGACAGCAATGAAATGCTGTTTAATGCAGGTTATTCGCACGTTGATCCCATGTTCAACACTGCATAAGTGATTAGAAATTGCAGTTAAATTCTCACGTAAACTGCCTACTGATTTATATGCTGAATAGCGGGATGTCCTTACTCACAAATGAAATGACACCTAAAGATCAGCTCAGGGTGTGTTTTTTTTATGACTTTTACCCAAATCTCAAGCTTTAGAGGCCATCTTCCATAATAGGGTCACTAGCTATTGAATCACTTTTTCTTATTTTTTTTAACTTCTTTAGACTTGCTTTCCTAATATCTAAAACCCACCTCTTAATTATGTTCAATATTTCCTCCACTTACTATTACAAATATGTGTGATGAACACCCAAGGTTTCTGCCATTCCACATGAACAACCAGTTATTTTCTGTTCTTAAGATGAAATCCAGAGACTACATAAGTTTGACTAGATCAAATTGTTAATAAAGTAAGCAATAAATTCCTCCAATACTCTGCTTTTAACAATATAAAGCTTTTTATTTTCATAGTTGACATTATAAATAGCATAGTGTTAAGAAACTTCCTAAATTCCTGTTACTGTGGCCGCGTCCTTTAATCTGTATGGGCTCATCCACTTTATAGTTTTTACCTTGTACAGCAGCTGTGGATATTAAATGAGGTCCCATCTACAAAGTACTTATAATGGGGCTAGCACATAAAAAAGTTCCATATTGACAACTCCACACCATATTCTGTTGATTAAAGGACACATCTGTTTTACCCTTCATCATCTCTGTAATTACTACATCTTACAATGGATGTATCTTTTTTAAATTTTTTTTGGAGTATAGTTGATTTACAGTGTTGGGTTTCAGGTGTACAGCAAAGTGAATCAGTTATACATATACATATATCCATTCTTATTTTTTTATACATGCTTTTCCCATATAGGCCATTAAAGAGTATTGAGTAGAGTTCCCTGTGCTATACAACAGGTTCTTATTATGTATTTTATATATAGTAGTGTGTATATGTCAATCCCAATCTCCCAATTTATCCCTCCCCCCCTTACCCCCTGCTAACCATGTTTATTTCCTACATCCATAACTCTATTTCTGTTTTGTAAATAAGTTCATTTGTATGCTTTTTTTTTAGATTCCACATGTAAGCAATATCATATGATATTTGTCTTTCTATGTCTGACTTACTTCACACGTATGATAATCTTTAGGTCCATCCATGTTGCCGCAAATGGCATTATTTTGTTCTTTTTGTGACTGAGTAATATTCCATTGTATATATGTACCACATCTTCTTTATCCACAATGGATGCATTTTAAAATCACTGTGGCCAAGCAGCAGTTATAACACAGTTTTCATTGCTAGTACATGTGAATTTCATTGTTATTCCTGGGAGCAATAGCAACCTCATGATATTTCTGCCAAAAACAAAGAAACAAAAACAGCTAAGGGCCATTTGAGGAAGGAAAGTAAACCGTTCCTCAGTTGCTTGCTTAAACCTCTCATTCATAGACATCTTCTGGTATGATTAAAAATGCAACAGCAAGGGCTTCCCTGGTGGCGCAGTGGTTGAGAGTCCGCCTGCCGATGCAGGGGACGCGGGCTCGTGCCCTGGTCCGGGAAGATCCCACATGCCGCGGAGCGGCTGGGCCCGTGAGCCATGGCCGCTGAGCCTGCGCGTCTGGAGCCTGTGCTCCGCAACGGGAGAGGCCACAACAGTGAGAGGCCCACGTACCGCAAAAAAAAAAATAAAAATAAAAAAAAAAAATGCAACAGCATCAGAACTTAGAAATAGGTACCAGTATCCTGGAAGAAAACGCTGGAGACAACAGGGGAACACTCTTGAAGAAATCCTGCATCATGAACACGTTTGATGCCACGGAGATGATAGTGTAGGAGAACACAAACTTTGATGAGTGTGAGTCTAAAAGCTACTTGAAATATTTGGATTCTGAATGTAAAGAAGTTTTAGGAATACTGTCCCTTTTAAAGTATGTAAAAGGGTTATATTTTTTTAAATTATGTCAGTAGGTCATACAAAGCAATTTCAGTAAGCATACAGTAAAAATTAGAGTTGATAAAAAGTATTGTAGTTTAATTTGGAGCCATTTCTCTTTCTTTGGGACACCTAAAATGATGGTCTATCCCACAGTCAGTCACATCTTAGATTTGAAGAAATATGATATTATCATTACTACATGGCTTCTCCAATAATGCTATGGAAAGTCAGAAGGCATCAGTTGATTTTAAAACCCCTGTTTCTAATCACCCTAAATCCTAATTCATTGAAATAATCAGCACTTTGAAACCTGTAATTAAGGCTTTCATTTTGAGGGATAGCATTTGAAAACACACTGGGTTTTCTCCATCCACAGAGTCTCAATGCCCATGTTTCCCCTGGTTAGCAATTACATAGGCTTTATTTGTTCCTCAGTTTTATCTTCTCTAGTGAATAATGGCCTCTCTCTTTGAGGTCCTCCTGAGTGCCCCAAACCAAATATCATATATACCACATAGTTTAAATTTTAAGCCAGACCATGCCAAATGAGATAAGTTTACTATGCAATTTGCCTTCCTAGCAGTACGCTGGTCACATGTGCTAAGTGGCAGGTATCATTGTTATTGTTAATTACAAGGAACAGAGAATGGTAAGGTTCCTGTTGCCACCATATCTAATCTGCTAATGTTGTCCATTTTTATAGGTGGAGCTCAGTGTCCAAATAGCAGTGCTTTGCAAGAGGTGCGCAGCTGTAACGAGCATCCCTGTACTGTGTACCACTGGCAAACTGGTCCCTGGGGCCAGTGCATCGAGGACACCTCAGTTTCATCCTTCAACACAACTACAACTTGGAACGGGGAGGCCTCTTGCTCTGTTGGCATGCAGACAAGAAAAGTCATCTGTGTGCGGGTCAATGTTGGCCAAGTGGGACCCAAAAAGTAAGGGCTTTAGAATGACAACAGTAAATTCTGTGGCCAGCCATGCAGGGATTGGCTTAGGCTTTACTTGCTTCATGAAAGGAAGCATTTGATTCTTATCATACATACCTGGCCTCAAGAGTAAGACTTCTTGGTTTTGAATGCAGCCACTGATAAAGTTGTAACAGCTTGAGAGCCTTGTACCTGGGATCCATAAATTCTCTAGAAATCTTTCTATGTGGTATCTACTTTCAGTGTTACAATAGCAGTTTCTGCTTTTATTGAGCTAGTGAAGCAATGAAAGAACTGCTTGCTTTTGGTCTGGCTGATCAATAATGACAGTATATGAAGTCCTAGCAGTGGAGGTCATCCATGACCTCCTTTATATCCGTAGGCTATGGAGGCTGCCGATCTAGTTTAATTGGGCAATAGCCTTCTATGCTCTGCCTTTCATTTCCCCTAGAAAGTACTATATCAAAAATACTGAGGCCAAATTATTACATCTTTTAATGGTTAAATGAATAAGCCATTTATTCCCAAGAGAGAGCCTTAGGATAGGATGAGTGTTATAATAAGCAGAAAAACCATCAGTTTCTTACTGTAGTTACCAGTAGCGTAACAACAAGGCAAACAATTTGCTAGAGGGGAGGGCAAAGAACTAGAGAATTGGCATATTGTATGTGCCTTGTGAGAAATATAAACAAAAACATGTCATAGCATAACTGGGCTAATTCTTTCTTAGACAAAGTTAATCAGTTATAAAAATATATGCCAAGGACTTCCCTGGTGGTACAGTGGTTAAGTATCCTCCTGCTACTGCCGGGGACACGGGTTCGAGCCCTGGCCCAGGAAGATCCCACATGCCGCGGAGCAACTAAGTCTGTGCACCGCAACTACTGAGCCTGCGCTCTAGAGCCCGCGAGCCAAAACTACTGAGCCCGCATGCTGCAGCTACTAAAGCCCACAAGCCTAGAGCCCGTGCTCTGCAACAAGAGAAGCCACCGCAGTGAGAAGCCCACGCACCCCAGCGAAGAGTAGTCCCCACTCTCCGCAACTAGAGAAAGCCCGCATGCAGCAAGGAAGACCCAACACAGCCAAAAATAAATAAATAAATAAACTTATTTAAAAAAAAAAAAAAATATATATATATATATATATATGCCAAGAGGAAAAAGGAACTCTTTACCTTTTGAGATATAGACAGCATAAATCTTTTAAAATTCAAATCATCTTAGCCATGTGAAACATGGAAAGTAAAACCCATCAGTTTGCATTGATATAAAAATGGCCTCATAATTTCCAAATACTTGGCTAAGTGCTTAGGTATCATGTGTGATCTTAAGCATACTACTTAACAGATTCTGGCTTCAGTTTTCAAAAATTTTTGAAAGGATTTAATGAAAAGAAATTGTAGTAATGTAAGCACTCAATAAACCTTAGAAATTGTATTTTCTCTTAAAAATTTGAGATAGTTCTTAGTGTTTCAGGGAAAGGATAATAATGTAACTGACATATGACAAACTCCAGGGGATAAATAAGAATCCCATTATGAGTTGTTTTTTTACTAATGGCCAGGGTTCTGGACATTAGCAGTATTTTGTCCCATACTTTATTTGTTTATGTACTTTGAAATTAAGAAATATATTAGAAAATACATGCAAAAAGACTTGAATACACTGAAAAACAATTCCACATGCTTAATAGGTAGCCCCAAACCAATATTTTAATAGAAATAATGCTAAAGTTGTAATGAATCTAACAAAGGATGTTAACGTACAGTGTATTAAAATTCAATAGCAGCAACAACAGAAGCGGAAGTCCCAAGTGCTGGAGAATTGTGGGTCTTTCTGGGACAAGCAGAGAGGTAGAAATATTCACTGTAGAGGGTTATAACCTGACCAACTTGTCCTGGTACAGATTGGAGGGTTGTTGTGCTGAGCTTCTATGGGTAAGCTCACTCTGTTCCTGTTTTGCAGTTAATCACTTTTTAGATGTTGCTGTTGGTATTTTCCTCACTTATGCAAACTACAAAATATATTTCTGAGCAGTGGATGTACATATGCATAAGCCTATGTGTGGAAAAGCCTGGTGGATTAATGTTATTAAATCATTGAGTAGAAAGGGTATCCTGAAGCCCCATGTCAGACCACCACAATAATCCATTAAAAATGTGCTTTACCCTTGCAGCCTTTATTCAATGACCTGGATACAAGTATAGATTTGTTAGATCAAATGGGTTTACTTTGCCCTTAAAGTTCTAAAAAATTAAGCAAATACTGTGAATTCAAAAGAAAATGTTACTACCCTTATGCCTAAATACTAGGTTAAATTCAATGACTGCTTTTCAGTACTAGGCATTTGAAACAAAAATGCAAATAGAAACCTTGTTTTAAACTCTTCTTAATAAAACAGATTACTGTGCGATGGTAAAATCAATGTTATTGATCTTATCTATCCTCCGAGTAACAAACTTCAACTCCTATCACATCTGTTTAATTTGACCTTGAATAAGATTTGGGGGAAAATCAATTCCTTGATTTAAACCACAGACACTAAATACAAACAGTACAAAGGAGAAAAGAAGCATGTTGACTGAACCAATTGCCTCACCAAAGGAAGTCTGAATTCATTTTACTGGATGTAATCTAGGCTGTATAATTTATCTTTGTGTGTTCATTTAATGGCTTTGTTTTTAGTAATTTTTTTCTCCACAGTTAACCAAGTATCTTGCTAAGGAAATTTCTAAACCATATAAAACAGAATTTTAGAGGTTGTCAATGATAACGTAAATTCCGTTGATTTATTGAGGGCTAAAATTTGAAGAGCATGTAATTGAGTAATGCTCTCCCACTGTTAAAGTTATAAAACTGCCTCATTGAGGAGGAGTGCTTCCAATAATAATTACTAATCAATAATTCCATAGTTTCAAAAGAATTAACAGGATTATATGTGGGTTTTGCCATATAATATTTCCTGGTTAAGCATGTAGGTTAAGTTATAATTGTAGTGATTTATAAACTCAATTGTAAAAAAACGTTGCCTTCTATGATTCTCATCTAAATTTCTTTGCTGTCCATGACCTTGAGTAGGCATAGCAATTAGGAAAATCCAAGCCTATACTCAACATAAACCAGGGAGATAATTTCTTTTTGAAATGTTGAATCTAATATATTTTTTAAAAATCCACTTTCAAATAAACCCTGATGTTACAGAATGAGAGAGAAAGGCATGTATCTGTATAGCTGAATAGAACATAATACTTCTGGATGAGATAGGATATGTAGATAAAAAAATTATAGATATATCAAAAATGAAGTGTCAGCAAAGCACTGTAAAGAAATTATGAGAAGGAAATGAATGATGTTGGTTTTTTCACTCATAGTTCAGTTCTGAAAACCTGATTAACTTACTTGTTGAAAGAGTTTATCTTGACTTAACAAAAAATTTGGCTTCTTCTATGGGGAGTATTTTTAAATCCCATTTTTCACTAATTTGCCAAATTATTCCAGCAACAGTTATACTGATTGTTTGGTTTATTTCTTCACTGCCTCTTAGCTTACTTGTCAGAGATTGATATGACCTCAAAAGAGAATTTCTTAGGAATCAGAACATTAAGTACTTTTAGTTACATGAATTATGTTATTATATTTTGTTGTCATAATGTACATCTTCTTCTAGTGTTCCTGACCAACATTTGACCACTAATGATAGTAGAATCAGATTGTGAAGATGCAGAGAAGAATTGGAAAATTTGAAAACCATGTAATAAGTATACAATAAACAAAACAGTATATTTAAAACTCATATATCAGCTTCCTAAAATTATCTTTTAGGAAGTGAAAACCTTATATAGTGTAAGACATTTCAGTGTTTTGTCATTATTTTTCTCTTGTTTTCCTAATAATATATTTTTGGTGTATTTTTTTTAAATAATTTTACTCTATGTCAAGAACAGTGTTTTATTTTTCTTTAAATTACTTATTGGCTATTTTTGTTTTATTTATATTCACTCTTTTTGTTCTAAAAATATTGTAATTTATAAAAATATTTAAAATCCAATAATTTAAAACTAGGAATAAAATGGAAGAAAAGATAAGAGTAGAGACAGTGAATGAAACCAGGAATAAAGCAAAAATTGTTTATCTTAATGAGCTATACACTTTTATTATTTTTTTTACTTATTTATTATGAAATACTTAGCTGTAAATACAATATTGGTTTTTGAGCATATACTATGTATAGAATATACTCCATTATAAATTTATTTGGTGCTAAACATATTTTGTAAAAATAAAGTGCAGAATAACCTGGAAGATTATAATTGGCAATAAGCTTATTTAGTTATACAAAGATGTAGCCTTGGGTCCTTAAATTGGTAATTTGAACTTCCATAAATTTCTTATAAAGCATGTTGCAAAATACAGATTTATTAATGGAGAGATTGTTATAAATGGATAAAATAGAACTATTATATTTTCTTTTACATAGCACAATTACTATAATTAAATTTACACGTCCTGTCTTGAGAAACTTTATTGAGTTTCAGTTTGGAATAATTATTTTGGTTTTATAGCCCTTGTCAAAAGCAGAAAGGATCCTAGAGGTTAAGTTAAATAATACAGATTGATGCCTGTTTAGCAATTTCAGCAATAAAAATTCTAAAGATACTAAATTACCTGGTTTTCTGGATTACTGTAGAGGTCTAGTAGTTTCCCTTTGCTTTTCCCAGGTGTCCTGAAAGCCTTCGACCTGAAACAGTGAAGCCCTGTCTGCTTCCTTGTAGGAAGGACTGTATCGTGACGCCATACAGTGACTGGACATCATGCCCTTCCTCATGTAAAGAAGGTATTATCTGCAGAGTTTTGAAGGAGGTTCACCTAGGAACCCTCTCACTGGGACCTCCAAATTCCTTTGGTTGAGCAATGTTTTTATTCTTACATGGGGCTGGCTGTGTAATCCTGGTTTGGCATGAATGCCATAAAATTTTGGCTTCCTTCTAGAAAATAATACAGCTTTTAGAGTACCAAACAAATAAGTTTTATGCCAAAACTGACTTAAATAACTTTATACTATAGATCAAGGTGAAAGGATTCTAAACTTTATTAATAATGTTTCCTTTAACATTGATTCTAGAAGAATGTATAGTGGCCTTATGTATTTCAAAAAGAATATAGAGTGATCTTCTCAGTACTCATGGCTCTCAACCTACTTAGTGGCAAGAAATAGCCATGGGACCAGATTCAGTACAGTTTCAATTATATGACCCAAAGGATGGGAATAAAGGAAAGAGAAAAATGATCATATTGTACCTCTGCCAACACTTAACATGACATGAGGCATCTACAAGACGAGGATTTGTTCCCAGTTTGGTTTGTTTTTGCTTTCATTACTCACAGACAAAGACCCTTTAATATCATGGCAGATACTTTGTTAATTCTTTACCCTCCAGGATAGGGTCCTTTCTCATTGCTGCTGAGAAAGATGTGAGCATTCTCCAGGTGACTTATGCAGTAAGTGATCACATTGTCTCTCAGTGTCACAAATGACACTGTTTCCTATTTTTTATTTTACTCTCCCGACAAATAGAGACAGTTTTTCTTCAGTTCCTTTTATGCTTTTACTTATGCTTCTTGATTCTCACTAGAGAGACTCAATTTAAGAATCAACTTCTAGGGCTTCCCTGGTGGCGCAGTGGTTAAGAATCTGCCTGCCAATGCAGGGGACATGGGTTTGATCCCTGGTCCAAGAAGATCCCACATGCCGCGGAGCAACTAAGCCCGTGTGCCAAAACTACTGAGCCTGTGCTCTAGAGCCCGTGAGCCACAACTACTGAGCCCGAGTGCCACAACTACTGAAGCCCGTGCTCCGCAACAGGAGAAGCCACCACAATGAGAAGCCTATGCATGGTAACAAAGAGCAGCGCCCGCTCACCGCAACTAGAGAAAGCCAGTGCGCAGCAACGAAAACCCAACGCAGCCCCCCAAAATATAAATAAATAAATAAAAGTTTAAAAAAAAGAATCAACTTCTAGTTTAACCACTGTTTTAAATCACCAGAATTTTTTTAAATCCTGAAGATATTACATGAGATTATAAACTTAATAATGGATAGTTTTTACAGTGTGATTATTTTATATAGTTGAAACATGAGTTCCTTTTCATGCTTTTTCTGTTTTAAATACCCTTGAAATAGCAAATAAATTAAACCACATAGTGCGCAAGAATAGAAAATGTTGATTTGAAAAGTCTTTTAAGGCATTTTAAAAGCTTTTGGGACAAAAAGAGTTAGCATTAACTCTTTAAAAATGTTAATGGCATTAATCTTATTGATAAAGCAATGTCATTGACAATTTTATCCAGATTTTCTTCTTTTATCCCCTTACTTTCTTAAAAACTAAATAATATCTGATATCCTTTAGTTTGGTCATAATCAGCAGTAGGACTGTAGGTTAGTATTTCTCATAGGGTAGTATTTCTGTGATAATTGTTGTCTATTCATTGCTACAATGAAAAAGCTTATTTATTACATGGAATTTATGTGCTTGAAAATTTTATGCTGGATGTTTTATACTTGATGTTTTCTATTGGTATGAGACAGCCCATTTACTAATAATTCCAAAACATAGGCAGTTACATTTATAATGACATGATTAATAATCTCACACAAATTTAACATTTGTAAGTAAAATTTTTGAAAGTAGAAAAAAATTTGCCTTTTTTTTATATTGGGCATTTCCTTATTTTGAGTAAAATATTTCAAAATAACTGTTGTTTTGGTCTAAAGCATTTCAAGAAAATAAAATAAAATAAAATAATAAACTAGAAAAGGTTTCATTAAATTGATTCTAGGATAGACACTCCTCAAAATGAGAAATCAGGTAAAATTGTCTCATTTCATTAGAAATAAGATATTTTGGAATATTGGAATATCCCAAACTAATTTGAAACTAATTTGAGATATTGGAATATGTCCAGGAATTAAGAACCAATTTAGTAGTCTAAGAATTTATCTTATTATGTATTATATATGTCTGGAAAGGGAAGAATAATAGATATAACTTACTCATTTAAAAAAAACCTATCATTGAAAATTAATTTTTTTTAAATTTTGTTTTATTTTTTTATACAACAGGTTCTTATTAGTTATGCATTTTATAAATATTAGTGTATATATGTCAACCCCAATCTCCCAATTCATCACACCACCACCACCACCACCACCCCCACCGCTTTCCCCGCTTGGTGTCTGTACATTTGTTCTCTACATCTGTGTCTCAGTTTCTGCCCTGCAAACTGGTTCATCTGTACCATTTTTCTAGGTTCCACATATATGCGTTAATATATATTTGTTTTTCTCTTTCTGCCTTATTTCACTCTGTATGACAGTCTCTAGATTCATCCACGTCTCTACAAATGATCCAATTTCGTTCCTTTTTATGGCCAAGTAATATTCCACTGTATATATGTACCACAACTTCTTTATTCATTCGTCTGTCAGTGGGCATTTAGGTTGCTTCCATGACCTGGCTATTGTAAATAGTGCTGCAATGAACATTGGGCTGCATGTGTCTTTTTGGATTATGGTTTTCTCTGGGTATATGCCCAGTAGTGGCATTGCTGGGTCATATGGTAATTCTATTTTTAGTGTTTTAAGGAACCTCCATACTGTTCTCCATAGTGGCTGTACCAATTTATATTCCCACCAAGAGAGCAAGAGGGTTCCCTTTTCTCCACACCCACTCCAGCATTTGTTATGTGTAGGTTTTCTGATGATGCCCATTCTAATTGGTGTGAGGTGATACCTCCTTGTAGTTTTGATTTGCATTTCTCTAATATTAGTGATGTTGAACAGCTTTTCATGAGCTTCTTGGCCATCTGTGCATCTTTGGAGAAATGTCTATTTAGGTCTTCTGCCCATTTTTGGATTGGGTTGTTTGTTTTTTTAATAATGAGCTGCATGAGCTGTTTATATATTTTGGAGATTAATCCTTTATCTGTTGATTCATTTACAAATATTTTTTCCCATTCTGAGGGTTGTCTTTTTGTCTTGTTTGTAGTTTCCTGTGCTTTGCAAAAGCTTTTAAGTTTCAGTAGGTCCCATTTGTTTATTTTTGTTATTTATTTCCATTACTCTAGGAGGTGGATCAAAAAAGATCTTGCTGTGATTTATGTCAAAGAGTGTTCTTCCTATGTTTTCCTCTAAGAGTTTTATAGTGTCCAGTCTTACATTTCGGTCTCTAATCCAGTTTGAGTTTATTTTTCTGTGTGGTGTTAGGGAGTGTTCTAATTTCATTCTTTTACATGTAGCTGTTCAGTTTTCCAAGCACCAATTATTAAAGAGGCTGTCTTTTCTCCATTGCATATACTTGCCTCTTTTGTCATAGATTAGTTGACCACAGGTGCGGGGGTTTATCTCTGGACTTTCTATCGTGTTCCATTGATCTATATCTCTGTTTTTTGTGCCAGTACCATACTCTCTTGATTACGGTAGCTTTGTAGTATAGTCTGAGGTCAGGCAGTCTGATTCCTCCAGCTCTGTTTTTTTTCCCTCAAGACTGCTTGGCTATTCGGGGTCTTTTGTGTCTCCATACAAATTTTAAGATTTTTTGTTCTAGTTATGTAAAAAATGCCATTGGTAATTTGATAGGGATAGCATTGAATCTGTAGATTGCTTTGGGTAGTATACTCATTTTCACAATATTGATTCTTCCAATCTAAGAATATAGTATATGTCTCCATCTGTATCATCTTTAATTTCTTCCATCAGTGTCTTATAGTTTTCTGCATACAGGTCTTTTGTCTCCCTAGGTAGGTTTATTCCTAGGTATTTTATTCTTTTTGTTGCAGTGATAAATGGGAGTGTTTCCTTAATTTCTCTTTTACATTTTTCATCATTAGTGTATAGGAATGCAAAAGATTTCTGTGCATTAATTTTGTATCCTGCAACTTTACCAAATTCATTGATTAGCTCTAGTAGTTTATTGGTGGCATCTTTAGGATTCTCTATGTATAGTATCATGTCATCTGCAAACAGTAACAGTTTTACTTCTTTTCCAATTTGTATTCCTTTTATTTCTTTTTCTTCTCTGATTGCCTTGGCTAGGACTTCCAAAACTATATTGAATAATAGTGGTGAGAGTGGATATCCTTGTCTTTTTCCTGATCTTAGAGGAAATGCTTTCAGTTTTTCACCATTGAGAATGATGTTTGCTGTGGGTTTATTGTATATGGCCCTTATTGTATTGAGGTAGGTTCCCTCTATGCCCACTTTCTGGAGAGTTTTTATCATAAATGGGTGTTGAATTTTGTCAAAAGCTTTTTCTGCATCTACTAAGATGGTCATATGGTTTTTATTCTTCAATTTGTTAATATGGTGTATCACATTGATTGATTTGCATATATTGAAGAATCCTTGCATCCCTGGGATAAATTCCACTTGATCATGGTGTATGATCCTTTTAATGTGCTGTTGGATTCTGTTTCCTAGTATTTTGTTGAGGATTTTTGCATCTATATTCATCAGTGATATTGGTCTGTAATTTTCTTTTTTTGTAGTATCTTTGTCTGTTTTTTGTATCAGGGTGATGGTGGCCTCATAGAATGAGTTTGGGAGTGTTCCTTCCTCTGCAATTTTTTGGAAGAGTTTGAGAAGGATGGGTGTTAGCTCTTCTCTAAATGTTTGATAGAATTCACCTGTGAAGCCATCTGGTCCTGGACTTTTGTTTGTTGGAAGATTTTTAATCACAGTTAAAACTTCATTACTTGTGATTGCTCCGTTTATATTTTCTGTTTCTTCCTGGTTCAGTCTTGGAAGGTTATACCTTTCTAAGAATTTGTCCATTTTTT